GATTTATTTTGCTTATTTGACATTCAGGCATGGGTCACATATTCCCAAATGTGAATTTACCGGGGTGATCAGAAGTCCGTTCTGGGTTTAGTGAAGTGATCACACAGGCACAGCCTCCTTTTGATAAATTTAACAATTTAATGTCCTGGGAACATGAATAGGCTGGGATGGCAAAGCTTAGCAGACAGTGTTTTCACACTCAGTTAAAGCAGAACAGAGTACTGTACTCTTAGACTAAAGCCCATAGTATTATTTTGTGCCTGTGGACACTTTAGGAACTATGTGTGATTTGTGATAAATACAAGAAGGAAAGATAGTCCAATGCTTGTGGAAGATATTTTCACATTTTTTATAAAAACGACTCCCCTCAACATAAATAGCATTAGAGTTTCTTTTCAAGTTGCTATATTACAACTACATTAATTTTACATTACTACATTAGTAATTTTACCATGACTATATTACCTTTACCATTAATTTAAACTCTGCCTCTGAAATATGTTTAAGGAAAGCTACTCGCTAGTTCTAAGGCAGATGATAAGTAAAGATACTATTTATGATACCAGCTTTCAGATGAAATAGGAGATGATAGGGATAAGGAGAGTTAAAACTGGGCTTAAGAGGAAAGACAACTAACGATGGAATAAAAACCTGTGGGAAATCCAGAGAGGAAACTAGGAGCTCTCCCTACTCTTGGCTCCATGTGAGAACCCGATAGCGCTGCAGCCTGCCGATCTGAGGGCTGCAGAGCAGGGCTGGAGGGTGCAAGCCTGGCTGGCTCCTTGTTTTCCTTCTCCTTGTACCGTGTGCCCTGCAGCTGGCAAACAGGACTGACTGAAAGGAGGGGCAGAAGCTGCAGCTTGGTAGGGGTCCAGGTACCAGAGTGGTTAACCCAGCCAAGCAAAGAGAGTGAGCTTGTAGGAATAAAACATTCTCTTGCAGGACACAGAATCTAATTTTCTGGGAACCGTCTGTTAGGACAGGTCGGCTGTGGCAATGGTGTAAGACATAATTATTTATTTTTTAAAAATAAAGATTACCTTCTCCCCGCTGAAATTTGCATGCTCTTACGAGAGATGGAAGTTCTAGTTCTTTTTAAAATGTGTGTATTTTTAAGGCAAAAAAAGAAGAGCTTGAAAGAATAGGGCTAAATCTGTCACCTTCCCAGGAGCCTAAACTCCCCAAGTTCTGACATCAGTGGACTGGCCACTTCATTGTAGGCAGGCAGGAACCCCTCTTGAGCACTGAATCAACATCTTCCCATTCTACCTTACTCTCCAAAGAATGCTAGAATCATACATCCAGGACAGAGTTGAATATTTGGTGGCACACTTTTGAGATTTTAAAAATTCTTAAGTTTTTGAAATCCTATACATCAAAGAATACAAAAGAAGATGAATAGTATTTGCCTTCTCATGTTTCTTTTTCCTTTCTCATGACCAACATCAAAAACATCCTTTTGGCCTATTTCTAAGTATGACAAATCAGGAGCGTTCCAAATGAGGAGAAATAAGACATTTAAATGGAAGCCAATTAAAAATTCAGCATTTATATGCAAACGAGTATAAATTTATATTTATACATTTTATTTATGTTTTAGTTACATATTACGTTTGTTAATGGAAACTGTCTATGTGGTGAATGTGGCCAAAGAACACCCATTTTTTAGGATTACCATGAGGAAAATGGATTTACATTTTATTTGTATGTGAGAACAGTTTTATTATTTTCACTTTCAATGAAATGTTAGACTCTCAAAATCCAGTAAAGGTAAAACATTTTTATTTTGGTAATATTACATATTAAGATATTTGTTTATTTGGGGCTAAAAATTTCGTATAATTAATGAGTATTGATTGAAAGAGCCGACTTTATAAACGAACAAAGATGCATATTCATGTTGCTTTCTCATATGGCTTAAATATTATCTTTTTAATACTACACACGTGTATAGCATGCTATATATATATTTTTTAATGTCAGTAATTGATTGGATTCTGCACCTGAGACTTTTCTTACCATAAGGCCCAAATGAGGGAGATAAAGTTATAAGACTAAGGAGCCCCAATGGGAAAGGAAGTAGAAAATATTATCTCACATTCAGCTAATTCAGACCCTTCCTCATTACTAACTCTTTGTTTTTTAGGTCTTTGGGAAATTTATGAAAACATACACTTAAATCCTTCATAATCTATGAATACAATATTCTTAATTTTCTACTTTGTTTTATAGAAAATCAAGGATGCACACTGAACAAAGTCCACAAATTCAACATCTGGGAAGCCATTATGGAGAAAGCATTATGACGTATTGTCTTCAGTTTTCGCTAAAAAGGACCAAAGAACTGATGACATTTACTCTTAGACCAAGTATTCCTTTAAAGACATGAGTATAATTCATTTGTCAAGAGACATGTATTAAAACATGTATCTACTTACTATTTTTTTCTCTTTCTAAACTGAACTGACCATGGAAGCAGTTCCAAAAATATTTAAGAAATGGGTGTGGTGTGGGGGCGCCTGGGTGGCTCATTTGGTTAAGTGTCCTCTTGATTTCAGCTCAGGTCATGATCTCCGGGTTCTGCGATGGAGCCCTGCTGAGTATGGAGCCTGTTTAGGATTCTCTCTCTCCTTCTCCCTCTGCCCCTGCCCCAACACCGCCCCCCGCCCCCGCACCACTCGTAGTGTGGGTATGGCTTTTTATTGAAAACATAACTTTCTCATCTGAGTGTTGTTCATTTTCTTTATCTCAACTAATAGTAACCTCTTCCTAGAGTAACAGTCCCTTGCCTGTCACAGTCCGTTGTCAACTCTAGCTATTACCATCTTCCCAATAGACCAACTTCCCCAATGCGTCTCCTTCCTGGCCAGGTTGTGTTGCATTCATATATCTTCCTGCCTTAAAGATGTTAGCCTCCCTTGTGGTGCTTGGGTGGTACAGAGAGTAGAGCCACCGATTCCTGGTTTTGGCTCAGGTTGTGATCTCTGGGTCATGAGATGGAGTCCTAAGTTGGGCTCCATGCTCAGCTCGGAGTCTGCTTGGGACTCTCTCTCTCTCTCTGCTTCTCTGCCCCAACCCCCTCCCCCCCCTCAAATAAATAAATAAATCTTAAAAAAGAAAAAGAAAAAAAAGATGTTAGCCCCCCTGGGTGGGGGTGGGGTGGAGGATATTGAAAAATGGTGTTCCTGCCATGACTGCAGTAATTTCTTTTCCAACCACAAGGCCATTGCTGGGCACCATGTCCACCCATCCACTGGAATCAGGAATAAATGTAGAAGAGTTCAGTTTGGTTCAGCAGACAGAGCTGTGGTAGGTGCTGGGGTGCAAAGTGAACAGATAATCTTTTTAGTCTCAAGGGGCTCATGCTTCAATAATCTGAAGCACATTATCCTTCAAATTATCCTTTAGCATTATCCCCCCCACTGGGCTTGCTCCTCTCTTGTTCGTTATCTGTGCAAGCTCTCATACATCCTGGCCTTGCTTCACAGTGTCTTCCCTTTGTTCTTTAATCCTAGCAATCTTTCTTTTTAGTCGTGGCCAACACCCCATCCCCAAGTGTTTCGGCGTAGAGCCTACGATTTAACTCTCCAGAAAGGCTTTCTGAGCTAAGTAAAAGATGTTATAAATATTTAACTATTTTTATTTTTCTAAATTACTAGATCAGGAGCAGCAATAAAATAAAAGATGGCCCCATAGTATCTGAAGTGTTAATCTGGGGGCAACAGGAGCCCCTTAGCTTCTTGATTAATTTTAAATTTCTATGGAATTGGTTGGTGATATATGTTTTTAGCTATTTTTTAAAAAATTCAAAACAATAGTCACATTTGAAAACAACTTTCAAATCACATTTGAAAACAAACAAAAACCTAATGGTTTGTGGCTGATTTGTACATCTTAAGAATTATTTTGGAGGAAATATTAAAACAGAGGCTTGGAAAGACCACAGAATGCTCATATTCTTGCCTAAATAAAAAAGTTAAAAGAGATTTTTCTTGCTCCTATCCTCAACAACAGCAAGAACTTATAGATTTAGACAGATTTCTAAGAAAGTGGGACAGTCAGATCTGTGAAAATAGAAATAAAGAACATGGAAAATGTTGCAAAACTAAAGTATTTCTCTAGATCATTCAGATTATTTAAGACAATAATTTCATTTCTCAGAAATATGCATACTCTGACCTGGTGATCTTAGGAGACTTTCCCTCTTTCCCTTTGTTGAGGTCAGGTAGGACTCCTCCCTCCCCCCTTCCCACTACACTGCACGGTAGCTGTGCTTTCCAGAACCTAGAGAAAATAAACCCTGGTGGTTGAATAAATGACCGCTTTTAGCATCTCTGAAAGTAGCCTAAACCTTATCACTTCTAATTAAACAAACAAATCCCCCCCCATTTCACTGATTCATAGTTTTTCTGTTCTTTCCTCCCCTCATTCTTGCTATAATACTATTACATCTATTGTTCATTTTAAACATGCAGTATTTCAACTACATTTGGATTAAATAAGCTTTTCACAATCTGGTCTTGAAACTTAACTACCGTCTATTGTAATATGTTATGAAGAAATATGTTTCAAGACTAACAAGTGATTTGCTATAATATAGGCTGTTTTATGCTGGAAAATGTTTCTAATAACAGATATTCGTGTGTGGGGTTTTGTACTCAGGTTCAATAATTTATAGTTTCACCCAGAATGTTGCTTTTTAGGATATTTTAAAACGTAGAACCCATATTGTTACCTAATTGGTAGTAAGCCACTTCATTTTCAACATATGAAGGATGTAGCTGTTCACTATGTAGCTTATAAATCGATTCTGATTAGTCCATGATAATTGGTTGGATTCAATATTACCACGTCAAGCAAGTGGTCCGGTACTTTTGGTCTTTAAAAAAATCCAACCTGGCTGGACCGCATGGCAACGGGCCTGCTAAATTTCAGTCATGTTGGTTATACTGTGTCAGCATATCCTACTTTCCCAAAGCTACATCCTGACAACTCATTCACTATGGCTCTTTGCCCTCTAGCATCTTTTTCAGGGTGTCCTTTACTTCCATGTTCCTCAGGGTATAGATCAAGGGGTTGAGCAGGGGAATTACAAGACTATAAAACACAGAGACCACTTTGTTGTACTTCCACGAATCCCCTGCTTTAGGTAGCTGCAGGTACATGAAAAACAGCGTCCCATAGAAGATGACGACCACGGTGAGGTGGGAGGCACAGGTGGAAATGGCTTTGCACTTGCCTTCGGAAGACTGGATTTTTAGAATGGAAAAGAGGATGCACATGTAGGAGATGAGGACCGTCAGGAGGGATCCAGTGAGATTCACTGCTGAGAAGATCAAGAGCTGCTTTTCTTTGTTGCCAGTGTCAGAGCAGGAGAGGGCAAGGAGAGGGGGGTCAGCACAGTAGAAGTGGTGAATGATGTTGGAGTCGCAGAAGGACAACTGGAACGTCAGAACTGTTTGTATTACAGAGTTTAGGAAGCCGTAGGTGTAGACCCCTATCACCAACTCCTTGCAGACCCGCTGAGTCATAATGGCTGCGTAGATCAGGGGGTTGCAGATAGCCAAGTAGCGGTCATAGGCCATTGTGGCCAAGAGGAAGCATTCGGTGGTGGCAAAAGCACTGGTGAAGTACAGCTGGGCAAAGCAGCCTAAAAAGGAGATGGTTTTTTCCTTCACCAATAAATTTTGCAGCATCTTGGGCCCAATGGAAGATGAATAACAAACATCGATGAATGCCAGGTGGCTGAGGAAATAGTACATGGGGGTGTGAAGCTTCAAATCCACCTTGATGAGCAGGATCATGCCAAGGTTTCCTACCAAGGTGATGAGATAAATTACCAGAAACACCACAAAGAGGGGAAGCTGGAGCTCTGGACGGTCTGTGAATCCCATAAGGACAAATTCTGTCACTGTGGTCTGATTGCCTCTTGCCATTTTGTTCTCTCTCTTGTTGGAAAAAGAAGAAACATGGCTTCAAAATGATTAGACTTAAAAATACAAACTTCTTACCTCTTTGTTCCAGGACCAGATGACAGAAATTTGGCTCCCCAATCCCAACGGTAAAAGACTGTCATTAGCCATGGGGCTTTATTCTGCCAAAACAGACTCAGAGAAGTCAGAGTCCGTTCATTCTCTCTTGTGATGGAAACTGACCAATTGACCTCCAAGTAAGTTGCACTGGGTTACACGCCCAACAATACTGTATGAGAACGCTGGTTTTCCCACAAACCCAAAATCTTATCAAATTTTAAACCTTTGCCGTCATAATGGTGAAGACTGGGCAACTCATGTTGTCTTGATTTTTAAAAATGATGAGTAGGGGTTATTAGCATTTTTTCAAACAATTATTCGCATGTGTATTTCTTTTTCATGACTGCTCAGTTCAGTCTCTTTGCTAATTTTCCTATTAGGTTGTTAGTCTTCTAAGCATTTTATTTACAGGGCCTCTTTGCTCATTAAGGAAATCAACCATTTGTTTGATACCTGTATTGCAAGTTATTTCTTAGTCTGTCACTCAGCAGATTGGTCTGGTATTTTTTTCTTTGTGCTACACAGTAAATTTTAAAGGGTTTGGTGTCAACTTTATCAATCTTCTTTTTGAATTCTGATCCTTGTGACATACTTAGATAAACTTTCCTTGATTTAAAATTATTTTTAAAATTATCTCTTGCTCTATTCTAGGTCTTTACCGGATTTCATTTTTACATTACAATCTTTGCTCTCTCTGGAGTTTAATTTTGATATAAAGAATGAGGTAATCAACTCTTTTCATTTATTTATCCAAATAGTTAACGAGGTGTTCTAAAGCCATTTGTTGGTGAAACAATTTTCCAGCTGATTTTGTTGATTTAAAACTCCAGCCTTATCATATAGTAAAACAGTCATAAGTACTTGGGTCAATTTCGGATTCATTTTCTTTGTAGTTTCCTTCTAGAACAAGGACCAAACATTTAAATACAGTACTATAGAATTGGTTTTAATATCTAGTAACAAAATTTCTGGCTATTTTCACATGTATATTTTCCAGATGAACTTTGACATTATTTTATCAAGTTCCAAAAAAATAAAAATAATCCTGTTTTCACTTAGAATGCTATTGCATTAAATTGGTATGTTAATTTGCTGAGAATTGACAGCTTTACAATCAAAACTTCTGTAAGTAAAGTATGTATGTCATTTATCAATGACTTTCTTAAACAGAGTTTTAAAGTTTTCTTTAAACTTTACAGATAGGGGTGCCTGGGTGGCTCAGTCGGTTAAGCGGCTGCCTTCGGCTCAGGTCATGATCCCAGGGTCCTGGGATTGAGCCCCACATCGGGCTCCCTGCTCAGTGGGAGTCTGCTTCTCCCTCTCCTCCCTGCTCATTCACTATCTTGCTATCTCTCTCTTTCTTTCAAATAAATAAATAAAATATTTTAAAAATATAAACTTTACAGATAAACATCCTACATATTTCTTTGAAGTCTATTTACAAATGTTGTATCTCTTTATAACTATTGTAAAGGAAGCTTTTTTTTTATTTTGTGGTTTATTTAAGGACTTTTTATATATAGAAAAGCTACGGATTTTTGTAAATTAATTTTATAATTATCTTCTTTACTATAGTTTCCTATCATTTAAAAATCGTTGTTAGTCGATTCTTTTGGGTTTTTCAAATACAGATTCATATACTATGAAAAGGATATGAACTTCTTCCCTCATTTCTGTATAGGATCTTTCATTCTTTTCTCTTTTCAACTTGCATTGGCTAGTCCTTCTTGATTAATATTAAAAATAGTGACAAAGTTGGCATTTTTTACCTTTTTTAAAGATTTTATTTATTTACTTGACAGAGAGAGCAAGAGAGTAAGAGCAGGGGGAGCAGTAGAGGGAGAGGGAGAAGCAGGCTCCCCACAGAGCAGGGAGCCTGATGCGGGGCTCGATCCCAGGACCCTAGGATCAAATTTTTACCTTTCAACCTCTTAAAGTGTGCTCCAAAAGCACAAGGGGACTCTCAGGCATATAGACAGACAGAATAGCCTGTGCAATATAACTGATGTTTGAGAAAAACAAGGCTTTAAAGAACTGCACATATTTGGTGTAGTTAAAATACAAGCTCCCTAGAAGCAAGCCTGCCTTTGACAATGGCAGGACCCAGGGCAAGAATCACAAATGCGGGCCTACATATCTATGCCTTAATAAATAAAAGTTAAAAGTAAAGATAACAAATTAATAAAATATGTTCTAGCTCTCTCCTCAACAAATGTACCTTTATAATAACCTGGAAGGCAGAATCCTTGGAGGTCCATGCTGGAATGAGGTGGCATGAGAACCTGCCTCTAACCCACATCTGTGGCTGGAACATGTATGCATCTTTTCACACCCCTGCAAAGAGCCATCCCTTGGCTTCTCTTAAGCCCTAAGTATGTGAACATTAGCGTTGTGGTTTACTCTTGTAAGGGTGATCTGGGAGAGAGACTCTTGTAAACTCTGAGGGCCATCTGGGCAAGGAATTTTAGGGTCTTGGTACCTGGAAGATGGTCTAGAAGGGAAGGATAGGATGAATGGAGGTTGGGGGGGCATCTTTTGGCCTTGTCCCATGGAGTGTGGTGCAGTAGGAAGAGGCCCAGAATTGCCCTGAAGAATGTGGCCAAGGCAGTGTCCCTTTTGTTTGGCTCTAAGGGTAGTACTGCCTACAAGTAAATGCACATCTGGGCTAGAAAATTGAGGGCCTCATCCATTTTGAGGAGTTTGGTCTGTATCCTATAGGGGGTAGGCAGCCTTTGGAATGTACAGGGATGGTCATAGAAAATGGAAAGAACCTCAAAAAGTGAAAGATGGATTCAAGGAGAACATTTTAGTAAGGGATAGTTGAGCAAAGACTTAAGTCAGAGCAGCTCAGAGCATGTTTGGGGGACTGTGAGCATCCTTTCTGTTAAGAGCAAGCACATCTGAAGGAGATGAGTGAGAAACAAACCGGACGGCGGTGGGGGGCCGCTATATTTTGTAGAATTTCACATGTCAGGGAGATTTTAATAGCTAGATCAGTAGTGAACGTGGATCCATTAAACATCAGAGCAGTAGAATGACTTGACCAGAGTTAAGCTTTCAGGGAGTTACTCTGGGAGCATGTGCAGGGTGCATTGAAGGGAGGGAGAGAGCCATCAGTAGGCATACCGGCTGGGATGTTAGGATGGAGAGATACCCCAAAGGCAGAGTCTGTGTCACTTGGCAATGGACTGAGATCCAAGTTTTAAGTCTGAGAGACCAGGATAATGGTCACCTGAGAATTGGTAGTTCAATTAAATTTTACTTTGTCTCTTTCTCTTTCCTGAGGATCTGACACAATTTAAATACACACACACACACACACACACACACACGCGCGCGCGCGCGTGCGCGCGCACCCATAAAGTTGAGGACATAATGGGGGGAAGAAAAAGAAGCAGATTTCCCACTGTATTTATAACAAGTCACTGTGAGGTAGTGCTTTTAGTAGAAATAGAAAGTCTGGGCTGGAAGTGAAGTAAAAGTGAAGGGGGTTGAGTTCAGTCTGAGGGGATGGTGGGTGGCTACCGCATGGGCACAGCTAGCAATATTGATTTGGGAGCCTTTAATGGACAGAAGATGGTAAAAGCTGTGAGAATCCATGAGACGAAACAGGGACAGAGAAATAGGTAACAGCAAGGGTTCAAGGATAGATCTTTGGGAAAATTATATCTTGAAGGTCTGGGGAGAGCAGTCACCTGAGATGCCCTGGTATGTCCAGGCCTACTCATATCAGGAAATGGTAAGGATCCTTTTAAGTATGGGCCTTTCTAATACTCCCGGTTCATTTATGATAGACATGGCCTATTTTGCTGTGGTCTTATTTCTCTCAATAATAGCTTAAAGCAAAACCAAACTTTGAGAGCTTCAGGAGTTGTACATAAGCAATCTTACTCAGTAAAATGTTTGTTGTTCTGGATTCTGTGCCATCCAAAAGCAAGAAGACATGCTTTCGTATTTATTTCTAGAATAGGTCAAGGCCCCCTGCCTCCATTCAAAGTATAATGGTTCTCACTTTAACTGTGACGCAGAACAAGTTAGTAACTCTAGAAGGACCCAAAAAGCCAGTGGACTGACGCTAACTTGTATTTATCAGCTCTTCATGACAGAATATTTTTCCTATGTTAGCAATTATTTACATAATTGCACATTTGCCTATTCAGTTTCTAAGACATGGTTAATGCATTCTAATTTCTAGATTTTTTTAAATTTCTTTTTGAATAGCAGAATATTTATTCATCATTTATCCTATGGAAATGCTTTTTTTTGCATTCAAAAATCTTCTAATTGAATGCTCTTTCTTAACAGTTTTCAGTCCAGTATGTACTCTGATTTTCTTCATGGGCAATTAAGTTTGAGGCTTACTGATAATATTAATGTTATCTATTAGTTCTTAGAATATAACTAGACCTGATGATAAATTCCAGGAAAAACAAAATAGTAAATTTCTCATAATAAATATTTGACTTATAATTTTCTACCTAAGAGAAAACTTATGATCCCTTTAAAAGATAAAATACTGAGCATTCTGATTAATGACTCCCAAACTTAGTGATAATAACCAGTGATTATTTAAATACTTTTGATGTGCCAAGATTCATTCACTTTTATACATTATTTTATTTAATACATAATTATCATTTCCCCCATTTTCTTAATGAGAAAACTGAGACAGAAATATTCAGTAGTTTTTTCCAAATTCACAAAGTAGAGAAAGTAGATGAGCCAGGATTTGAAACCAGGTAGGATGATTCTAGAATCCTCAGCCTAAACTATACTGCCTCCCCATTATGAGTCCTTTATGATATGATTTATGTATATATATTAATATCCATTTATTTGTAAATTTAGATTCCTATGAGAAAAATTATTTCTTCTTAGTTTGTTCAGGTACCTTTAAATTTATTGTGTCTAACTAATATATTCAGTGTTTGGTAGTTTGGAGTATTGGTTTGTGTTTTACCATTCACTATTTGAACAATTCAAACAACTTTGTTTAAGAAATCTTCTTAACCCCTGGGAAGGGAGGGGCACATGAACTACTTTGAGAATCTGGTAAAAACTAAGTATCTGTTTCTGGGAAAGTTTCACTCATACAACATCCTGCATGCGATTTCAGAGGTTTCGTGAGTTGATCAGGCCCACGCTATGGTTTCCTAAGAGAATAATACACTGACAAAAAAAATCCCAACTTTTCCAAGTAAGAGTCAATCTATCCTTCCCCATTTGCTTTTCTGCTGGAAGCAAAGCAAGCATACCTGTCTTCAAGCCTTGCCCTCTTCACAGTCCCAGACCTGAAACCCTTCTCTTGACTGCCTTGTAGTTTTTACCATAGCAGCCTTAGAAATGAAAAAAGCTTACCACGGTAGCACCTGCGGGGCAGTCAGTCCGGATTTCCAATGTTCTGGAAGCGTCCACCTCGAGTATTTCCAGCGAGAAGACTTCTTCATGTGGAAGACTTGGTTTCTGTGATCCATACCGACAAACCTGTGAGTATTTATAAAATATAATGAGTCTGTTATCTCTTGTTATTTCAGAGCTTCCTGGGTACCAAGGGAACAGTATATACAGAGTTTCTAGGAGATATTTTACATTTAATTTAAACTACCCTTGGGAATAAAATCCCTGAATCATCCTGGTAACTAACGATGACTTGCATTCCGATGTTTGTTGCATGTGCCCAGGATGATTCTCAAGTCCAGAACCTTTGGTGTGATACTTGGAACTGTCTTCCTGCCCTTAGCAGGGCATATGCAGTGGGTGGCCTTGAAGTTGTGGCTGGGATGGGTGCCCAGGGAATGTTTTATAGGGGACAGGGTAAGGTTATGCAAAGATTATGTGACTAGGATGCACATATGGGACATTTTTGTTTGCAAAGAAAAGGTGGCCTTGGCTAGCATATTTATCACAACAGACAATGAAAAGGAAAAAGGCAGTCTTCATTTTTCCTATGGCTATATATTTCCTGTTGAACCAAATCAAGGAATAAAATCATATTCAAAGCCAGGTCAGCGACTAAATGTTCTAATAGTTTCATAGGCCTCACTCCCTTTCTCTCTCTCTTCCCCATTCCCCTCCAGACTGAAATTGGAACAATCAGTACACCCGATGTGGCCAGGGGCAGTTCTCCAGTTTTTGGAACCTGGCCCTCTAGGTCATTTGTTGTAATGGTGTGGTGCATCCCGTAAAGTATTGCTGCAAAGAACACTGCCCTCAACGTCAGCCTTCAAAGCAAGGCAGAGCTAAGGTGAGAACGGTCTCCAACTAGAAAGCGCATTTGCTGTCTCTCAGCATTTCCCAAGTGCATTAATTCACACCAAAGAGGAGGAAGCTGGAAGAGAAATGTGTTTGTGTCAGACCTAGAGACATGGTTCCAGTGGCTTTTCCCAGTCAACTTCGCCATTTTAAGTAACTCGTAAAAAAATTTTTATTTGAGAAAACAATAAACAACCCCTAAACAAAATTTCTAATATGGACGGTTACTCTTGTTTTTGTCTTGACTTTTCATTCTGCTTAGAGGAGAGACTTTCTAGGCTATAGATGGCATAGAGTGAAACGTAGGTTTGATTTGCTGAGTTGAAGAAGTCCATGGTTTTGCAAATGCCATATCTGATCTCAAGCGGGTTACCCTGACTCTGAGCAACAGGACTTCTATTTTGAGAGTCCCTAGGACTCGAGGCCTACTGCAAGAACTGGAGTAAGGGACAGAGGCAGAGAGTCAACTGAACTATTTTTTTGCCTTTCCTGTTACATCTCGTGTCTAGTCCCAGGTCAAACAATAATCGATGTGCTCTATATCAAAAATTGGTTTTTCTATGGAATTCTCATGCTCAAATGAGCCAATTATAGAAATTAAATATTGGGGGAGGGGAAGGGGGACAGCTAGGCCTCCTAAAGGCTGTTCTTGCAGAAAGCAGGTGACACTTGCATCTTGTCTGAGCAAGTGCCCAGCAGGGGCAAGGTAAGGAGAGAAACTGATACCAACAAAGCTGAGGGAAACTAGCCATGGCACTTTGGGGCCAGAATTTACACTGTGCCCCATTCCTCAGCACAACTGGGAAAGAAGTTCTAGATCTAGGAGTATCAGATAGTCACCAGTGAGGTTCCGAGGGGGAAGGTATCTTGAAGAATCTCTGGGCCATGAGATTTAATTGCAGTTTTTAGGAAGGACTTGAATTGAAGGAAGGTACACATATGATTCATGCATTCAGCTGGGGACAAACTTTAAAAGGAAGCATTCTCTGGGTATGCAAGAGCTTGGTAATGTGAACACCCGAGGGGGGTGACTAGTAGTGAAGATGTCAGAGGCATAACTCAAACCCTCTAATACTTTGTTCTCCTACAACCAGGAACTCCTACAGGTGTGATGATTCCTTCGCTGAACTGTGAGTTGGCGGGTGCCCTGAATTACCGTTTTTGCCTCGGAGTAGCTGTTGCATTTGGTTTGAGGCTTAATTATACATTTAGATTTTCCTTGGTGGAAAGTCCCCATGTTAATAGTGTGGAGTAAGTTAAGCAACAGGGAATGTTCACTTATATTTCTGTCCTAATGTTACCAAAATTTAAATAGGCCTGGAAGAAATGTGGGTGTTAACATCTGAGTGGAAAAGTGCAACCTTTGGGGTAAAGAAAGGCTTCTTCACTCTTGTATTTACTGTCCTTGAATTTGTGAGTCATGCTCATGCTGTGACTTCCCATTAAACAGTTTGGCTGCCTGGCTTGAGGAAGGCCTCTTTATGATCTGAGAAAAGAGACAATTTGGGCTGTGATTATACTGGGGATTTTGCAATTCGGATGCCTGATTGATGGCATCTGTCTGTCTGTGACTGATTTGAGTGACATCAACATATTGACCTGTAGGATTTGTTCAGTAACGTGCTATAAGAGAGAATTATTTTGCAATAAAATGACACACCTAGTACTTGCAAATTAGAATTAATTTGATATGTATTTTCCTTCCGATAGCAAAGCCTGCAGATGAGAGTAACTCGGGATTTTTGCTGTTTACTACATAAGCTCAAGATAAACAAGGTATGTTACACACTGAGAAATGAATGCCTTCTGTATTTACCACCCAAAGAGCCCCACAGAGTGCAACAGAAAAAAAAGGAGCGGTATAAAGAAAATTTTTGAGAAAACAATAAACAACCACTAAACAAAATTTCCAATATGGATGGTTACTCTTGTTTTATGTAAAACATTTTGATTTCCTGCCTTTGATAAATAATTATTTTTGTAATTCAAACATAGTATCCCAGTTTCTAAGGCCATGTGACACCAGTTCAGCTTAATTGTTAACAGCAAGAACTGCTTTCCTTTGAAGTTCATGTCTATAGTTTGAAGTTCATTCAACAGTCTTTTTCTTTGGTCCTGTCTCTGGGAAATTCCCTCCCTAAGAATGCCTTGAGGTGTGTGACGGGGGATTCAGCATGCTCATGGCCATGGTCACCTGGTCCTAGCCAGTTTGTTTTGGAATTTCAAACAAGAAAGTTGGATAGACCCAGGAATGAGAAGTGGAAAATGTAGCTAAAAAAAGGTTTCAGAAGGGAGAATCGTTGGGACTAGAGCCAGGTTGGAGACCTGGGAGATAAAGACAGTCCTAATAGCACTAGCAATCTTTACAGAGACATAAGAAAGAAAGAAAGCAAGAAAGCAAGAAAGCAAGAAAGCAAGAAAGCAAGAAAGCAAGAAAGAAAGCAAAGAAAGCAAGAAAGCAAGAAAGCAAGAAAGCAAGAAAGCAAGAAAGCAAGAAAGAAAGAAAGAAAGAAAGAAAGAAAGGAAAGAAAGCTGAGCGAAATCCCCAATATCCAAGAGCTAGAGTCTGTGGGGTTGTGGATGATGGTCCACTCAGCAAGCAGCAGTAGAGAGGCTACCATTACATGTGTCCTTGAACTCAAGGGAGTCCTGGCCAGCAAGTTATTTTGGATTTCTTTAGACACCATGATTGCATAGTTCATAAGGTGACCAATGGACATGGATTCACCATAGGATACTCTGGCCAGGAGACAATCATCCCTGGTGAGTGGAGCATGTAAGAAACAAATCTGTAAAAAGGTGCGCATCGTGACAATGGCTGTTCTCGGTAACAGGAGACTGTGCAGTATGCAGAAGGAAAGACAGCGCCCCCCTGCAGGCTAAAATGTGCATGAGACAAGGGAAATTCCAACCAAGTTGGGTATCAGAATTGTCTCCTGTTTCTGTGCCAGGATGACGACATTCAATGCTAAGAAAAACACAAAGAGGGACTTCTTGATCTTCTGGGAACTCATGAAGGAAGTGTTTGAGACTGGTGCACTGAATTTCTCCATTTTGTTTGTTCTTGATTTTTTTTCTTGTGGAGGAGGGTGGGGAATGAGAAAATAGCAGACACCGAGGAAAACAATGAATAATCAGAGGGACTGAGATATAGATAACTAGCTTTCCTGCAGCACAGTTCTGGTGTCAGTTTCGTACAGAAAACTCCCACATTGTTAGTGTGTACAAACAACATTGAACATGATTTTTTAAAAAATGACATTTGCTCCTATGGATCTTCTCTTTTAAGTCCTATTTTCTCTCACTCCTTCCTTGAATTACACCACTACAGGCATGCATTCTGATAACACTCCACCTACACTAGAGACCAACTGTAGCAATTGATTTCTGAAGAATAAAAATGTCTGGGTAAAAGAATGGTGTAAAAATGTTCAATGGAAGGAATTCTGATGCTATATCATGATTCGATCGTAATCTAAGAAGATATTAAAATATCAGTTACCCAGGGCGCCTGGGTGGCTCAGTTGGTTAAGCGACTGCCTTCGGCTCAGGTCATGATCCTGGAGTCCCGGGATCGAGTCCCGCATCGGGCTCCCTGCTCAGCAGGGAGTCTGCTTCTCCCTCTGACCCTCTTCCCTCTCGTGCTCTCTATGTCTCATTCTCTCTCTCTCAAATAAATAAAATCTTTAAAAAAAAAATCAGTTACCCAGCTTAGTAAGTGAAAAAAGTCACACACCAAGTTATACCATCATAAAATTTCAAATCCTAAAAACTTTCCAGAGAGAGAGATTTTCAAAACGGTATTAGAAAAGCATCAACACATCTCACAACAGCTATGCTCAAAACCGGAAGACAATACATTGGTTCAAAATGCTCATGTAAAAGCATTTCTTTCCAGCCAAGCATTCTATAACTAGCCAAATCATTACTCAGTTGTGAAAGATAGAATAAATATATTTTCAAACTTGAAAACAAGAAGATATTAAGGTACAACTGGCATGGGCACTGTTGACAACTTCATATGACTTAAAGCATGATGGTAAGATGCATAAGATTGAATGAATCAGATAATAAGATGTTGGCATTTGGTACTCCAGGTGTCTCCTCCTCCCCCATGGGTAGACACTCAAAGAGCTCACAGTATATTCATTGCTAGACTGAACCCTCACATCCTTTTCTTTCCTACTCCCTTCAATAGCACTTTATGTGAAAAAATGTCCTTTATA